AGTGTCTTACAATTTTCTGCATACAGGTCTTTTGTCTCCTTAGGTAGGTTTATTCCTAGATATTTTATTCTTTTTGTTGCAGTGGTAAATGGGAGTGTTTTCTTAATTTCACTTTCAGATTTTTCATCGTTAGTGTATAGGAATGCCAGAGATTTCTGTAAATTAATTTTGTATCCTGCTACTTTTCCAAAACATTAATTAGCTCTAGTAGCTTTCTGGTACCATCTTTAGGATCCTCTATGTATAGTACCATGTCATCTGCAAACAGTGACAGCTTTACTTTCTCTTTTTCGATTTGGATTCATTTTATTTCTTTTCCTTCTCTGATTGCTTTGGCTAAAACTTCCAAAACAATGTTGAATAATAGTGGTGAGAGTGGGCAACGTTGTCTTGTTCCTGATCTTAGTGGAAATGGTTTCAGTTTTTCACCATTGAGGATGATATTGGCTGTGGGTTTGTCATATATGGCCTTTATTATGTTGAGGTAAGTTCCCTCTATGCCTACTTTCTGGTGGGTTTTTATCACAAATGGGTGTTGAATTATGTCAAAAGCTTTCTCTGCATCTATTGAGATGACCATATGGTTTTTCTCCTTCAATTTGTTAATATGGTGTATCACATTGATTGATTTGCATATATTGAAGAATCCTTGCATTCCTGGGATAAACCCCACTTGATCATGGTGTATGATCCTTTTAATGTGCTGTTGGATTCTGTTTGCTAGTTTTTTGTTGAGGATTTTTGCATCTATGTTCATCAGTGATATTGGCCTGTAGTTTTCTTTTTTGTGACATCTTTGTCTGGTTTTGGTATCAGGGTGATGTTGGCCTCATAGAATGAGTTTGGGAGTGTTCCTCCCTCTGCTATACACTTGATATTTTGGATTCACTTGTCTTTCAGCATCTATGTAGCACTCTGAGATATTTGTATCGGTTTTACAGGCACAGAATAAGAGTTTACTAATTGTTTGATGAATTGAATTGAAAGTTAGCTATTGTATTTATTTATTTATTTAATACACTCATGGCTAAATTTATTTATCCTTATTACATCATCCTTCTTGCCAGGTTTCTTCTTTTTTTAATTCAAGTGTAGTTGATTTACAAGATTGTGTTAGCTTCAAGTGTACAGCAAAGTGATTCAGTTTCTTTTTCAGTTCTTTTTCAGTCTCTTTTCCAATATAGGTTATTACAAGATATTGATTATAATTCCCTGTGCTATACAGTAAGACCTTGTTGTTCATCTATTTTATACATAGTAGTGTGTATATGTTAATCCCATCCTCCTAATTTATCCCTCTCATTAGAACAATGCAAATTCATGTGTACAACTCAGAGGGCTTGTGCTAACAATGGCACATTGGTAAGAGAGCAATATGTGTGCGTCTTGAATATTATAAAGTGTTATTCAGATGTTAGTTACTTCTATACATGGAAATGTGTTTTCACAGGTAGTTCTCATATCTCACACAGATTGGCCTTGCTGCTTCCCAGGTTCACATGGTATAAGCTTTGTTGCCAAGGCCCAAAACATACTTTCACTGTGCACCCCACAGGCTCTAAGGTCTAAAGTGTGTGACTGATGGTGCCAGTCTTTTAGGAGGAAAGGCATGATAAGATTATGGGCATATGTGTCCCCTGAAGATAGTAATTGTGTGGCTGCACCACACTGACTCCATTTTGTCAGCTCCATCTTAGGCCCGCAGTCCTACCCCCTCCCCTTTCTGCATGACTGAGCTTTAGCCTACTCACTAGGAATGCACCCAAGCCAGATAAGTTCCCTATCAACTTTTACCCTTGCCTTCATCTGATATGAAAACTAGAAGAATACCTTCTGCTGACATAGATGGGTAATGGTAATGAGACCCCTGGGGTGGGGGAGGAAAAAAGCCTGGTTCCCATAGGTGCAGCCGTGCTTCTCCCTTGGTAACCAGATTCTATTTTTAGCTTTGGCCCTTTAAACTCCCCCATGCCCCTTTCGGGGGCACAGAGTGCAGCTGTGAATACCTCTGGATCATTGTCCACCCGATCCTGCCTGTATGTAAGTTACCCCCAATAAACTTCATAATTGTACTTTATGGAGTTGTCTGCTTCACTTTTCGGTCTTAAAGTTCCTTCTCAGTTCAGAGGGTATTACTCAATATCCCCGCCTCCCAACAGTAATAAAGCCCAATAGCAAAAGCTTCAGAGAAGGAGCATCTCCATTCTTGGATAAATATTTTGGAGGGTCCAGAGTCAACTGATTTTGTACTAAAAGATTTCTCAGAGACAGAGTCTCATGGATTTAGATGGAATGTTCTGGGGAGTACCCAACCCTACAGCCGCCCACCTCGCCCTATCCCAGGAAGTAGCAATCAATTCTGTAATGCTAAGGACTATGACCTTGTGAGGTGCAGGGATGAGGGGGCTAGCTGGAAGAGCACTCAAGGTTGACCTAGTCTCTCAGGACTGTGACAGCTCCCAGAGGGGCATTATTCTGTACCATCCCCATCCTCTGGCCTGCTCTGGGAGTCAGCTACTCAGCAGGAGTAAGAGCAGTGTTGGCAAGAGAAAGTATAAGAGAATGAGCTTCAGCACTACCCTGCTCTGATTGGTTATTTCTGGAGGAAGTACTCATACAAACCTGACTGGGAATTGCTCCCTCCAGTTTTATTCCCACAACCAGGGTCTAGAAGGTGTGTGTCTAAGAATATACAGGAGACAAAATCCTGAAACTAGAAAGGAAATGATTCCCTTCACCATCCTTCCCCTCCCCCGCAACCCCACTTCCTAACTCTCCCAGTCCCCAGCCTATAAGTGCATGTGAACACATGCTCAGTTTTCATCCTAAGCTTTTTAGGACTTGACCCTTCTCTAGAGTGAACTGAGTGGTGCCCGTTGATAAGGAGTGTTTGTGAGAAAGCATGCTTGATATGAACCCAGCCATAGCCCATAAAATATTCTTGAAACCACTAACATATTAAAATAATTTCACAAAGGACCTAAGAGAACTTAGAGGTTTACATCATGATCAAGAGTGTAAGGTCTGGAGCCTGAGTGCCCAAGACTGAATCTGGCTCTGACACTCTCTGTGACCTCAGGCAGGTCACTTCACTTTTCTATGCCTTAGAATCCTCATCTGTAAAATGCGGAATAACATTACCTACCCTCCTAAGAGTTGTTTTGAGGATTGAATGAAATAATGCATATATAGGACTATGCCACACATATCGTAAGTGCTCATAAATATTAGCTAGTATTTAATTATCTGACAGTGCCTCATGGTTCTATGCCCATAGTCTTTAAGGCATTTGTGGAGCAAATGAAATTGACGACCATTAGTTTATTTAATACGTTTCCTTAATATGTTCATTTGCCCATACTTTTTAGCCTACTGACTTTCCAATGACACGAGGATAGTTGTTGTTACAATGGCCTAGCATTTACACCCAAACTTTGTGATTCTGCACTCCTTTTCCAAGACCCATTTGCTGGCCCCATCTCTGCCTCCTCTCCCACTCCGTTAGACTTGCCCCTACAAAAGTACCCTGTGTTACTTTAAGATTTGAGGATAAAAAGAGAGTAGTCAATTAAAGAAGTGTTTGCGGGTGGAAGGGAGCACTTTCCTCTGCTCTACCCCCCGTATTCCACAATTTCTTCGTCTCCTGTGTATTTATGAGATTGTTGTGGAACAGAAAGGCTACCACCTATAGGAGGTTCTGAAGGTTCATTTGTATAATGTATCACTAGTGTCTCTTCTCTGTAGGTAAGGGCAGCAGGTTTTTCAGGTGGATCTTGCTCCACACTCTTTACCCTAAACTCGCTGCATTCCTGGGATATAAAGTCACTGAGGCTGGAGAGGATACATGGGGGGAAATATGCCTGGTCTGGCATGAGGCACATTTTTCTGCCCTGTGTGTATCTCCACTCCAGCTCTAATTGGCTTGCCTTGCTCACTGTGTGTCTCTGTGTTCTCATAGCATCTGACCCTTAAGTAGCTGAGTCACATGGCTTTTATGGACCAAATTATGGTTCCACACTGCTCTTGCTCTTAATGGAAGGCATATTAACCATTAGGGAGAAATTGTTGCTTGAATTCCAAAGAGGCGGTGTGTTCTTCTGGAGGTTTGGTAGATTCTTTCTTTCAAATTCACCTTGAATAACAGTCAGAGGACAGCAGTGTGTGCTTCTTATGACAACAACCTACATCTCCATCATGAAAGATGAGGATGAGGAATGCGGGAGTTAGGTTGAAAAAGGAAATCTCCACTGATCCAAAGCAAGTCACTTCACTCTCCCCCAATTAAGTATGCAATCCATTTAGCCCCAAACAGTGGTTGAAGATGGGAAAACCACACTAGACATATCAGCAAATAGGACAATTCTGGCTCATAGCCCTGCTACTTAGAAGAGGGAGCTCTTCCAACATAATGTCCTGACACTGTATAAGAGGAGGGGAAATGGCTAAAGATAAATTCTTAACATGATCCCAAGAGTAAAACTGGATGAGAATGAAAAGCCTTAGCTTAGATTGTTCACAGTTCTTCACAGCACTGTGGTGGGCACAACTGTACATGCTACTAAGAGTTCTCACTTTCCTGGTCTGTGAGGGGCAAGCATTAGTTAGGTAGATGCTGGGATACTCGATCCCAATAGGCAGTGGCCATAGTAACTTCAATTCCTTGGTGACTTTAGAGGCATCCAGCTGACTTTCTCATCAAAATACCCAACTCATATAAGATATAAACATTAAGATACATAAGGAAGGGAGAACTGCATTCATCCCCTGGGGGTGTGGGAGTGAGCAGATGGTTGATAAGCATATGCTCCTTATTAGAAAATAAAATCCTGTGGGCAGAAAGCAGTACCGATGATGATTTAATGTGATCTCATTTCCCTCCTCTGCCTTCACTCTACCTTGGAGTGTTAGCCACTCTCCCAACCCCAAACAACATAAAGGCAATGTCCTAGCTATTATTACCTCTCTCTCCCCTAAAAAACAAATCAACAAAATACTCAGGATAGTAGGAAACACAAAGCAATCTTCATTTCTTCCACACATTAGAAACATTTTCAATTACAGTTCAGCTTCTCTGAGATATACATCAAATGTTGGTCAACGAGCACAGAAAAGCCAGGTTGGAGGGAATCCCTGATAAGGAGACATGAAGTGAGAGCTTTGATTCAACCACTCCACTCAGCACAGTGGAGGCCCATGCAGGTCCCTGAGATAGTCATTCTGCTTTATGCCTTGAAGGAAACCCACTCTGTACTCCCTCCTCAGAGTGTGCCTTTGAAGGGCCACTGAAAGGAAAGATCCTTGATGAATGATCACTAGTAAAGTCCTAATGGAGAGTTAACTCATTTAAGGAGCAGCTCTTTTAATAGTGGGGGTTTTCCTCTTAATCAGTGTTTCTCACTGGAATTAAAAGACCCCAGCCATGTTCACAGTTACAGGTTTCACATAAGTCAGACTGTTTCCCGGGAGGTACCCATAGCTGATAAGCAGGCACATCCTCTGATCAGTCAGGATATATTCTGGTGGGATTCTGGGCCATTTGGTTCAGCCCACAGAAACCTCAGTAATGCTCAAGCGAATGAGCAGAGCTTAAAGGTCACAGAGAGCCTTAGGTGCATGGAGGTAAGTTATCTCATAGGACAGCCAGACAGCTGACCTGGGTGGGAGGAATGTGAATGATATATCTGATCCTCCCAGGTACACAGTGGTTACCTTGGTGTCCAAACATAGTAGTCAATCTTAAGGAAATAAAATCTATTTGGGGGCTGCTCTTTCTTCTGATAGGCTTTCAGAAAACTCAAAACAATGTCCTGGTGGGTACTCACCCATAAGCCTCATCGTCTCCTTCAATTTCACAGTTGCTCTTGGCAACCCCAACCCATCCCAAAATACCCAAAAGACAGAATCAGACAATGCTTTGCCTTGCTTCAGCATCAATGGATGGCTCTGAGTTCTCAACCCTGCCCCGAGGGTGCTGGTAGCAGCAGACACAGTGGAGATAGTCCACTACATTGTGGGTGAAGAGTGAGCGCAACGGGTGCAAGTACTGGAAGAAAAGGAGCATGAAGCCAATGGAAATCAGATAAGCAATAATGAGCTGCAAGGCAATCAAGGAATGACAGTAATTCAGTAACACTTTCACTCCAAAGAACTTAAAAACCAAGACCATGATCACATTCTCTAACAATCTCACACTATAGTGCAGGCCCATATGTCCCCAGTTCTGACCTTTCTCAACAAGGTCGCTGTCTGCTAACTTCAACTGCAAAGCTGACCAGCAAGAGAAGTTGATGCCAGCATAGAGGACGGTAACGGAAATCAACACCACTAAGGTGCCAAGTCGGCTGAAATTTTTCTCAATGTTATTGGGCATGTGGGCACCACTCCTCCAGAACTTAACCCAAGGCTCAAAGAGGATGATCAGGAAGTTCAGCAATAAGAAGGGCACAGCCTTCAATTTCAAGGTGGCTGAAAAGAGCACGAGAATCATGAGGCGGGAGGTGATCTCCAATGTCCGCCAAATGGTGATGCACAGGACTTCTAGTGGACCAAGGCGAATCTTGTATTCATCGTACTTGATCTGGATAGCCAACATATTGCAGAGGGTAGCCCCATAGGTGACAGATATCAGGGAAAAGACTATTAGCACAGCTGTAAGAAAAAAAAAGAAACAGAAGAAAATAGATAATCAGTCAATGTTGGTGAAGCTTGTACTCTGACCCAGAGGTCCAGAGAGATGATAGGTGAGACTCAAGGGCCCAAGTCAAGAGCAAACCTACGAATGAACAGAGCTATGTAAACAAACAGCATACACAGAAAGAAAATGGAAATAAACTAAATTATTTTGCGTGACAGGGATTGGGGCAGTTTTTAATTTTTTCTACATTTCTCTAGTTTCTAAATTTCCCATGAAATAAGAAATGAACATATACTGGCAATATTTTAATAATCATATAAACATACAAAATAAAGTAAAAAAACAGTGGGCCTCAGAACCATCACTGAGGGGTCACTAGCATTGAGAGGTCACTAACCCAAGAAGAGTACATATAAAGGGATGGGCAGCATCTACCTGATGAAACAAGCTTCTGAGAAAACAGTGCTGGAGGCAGAGAGAACTTGATCTGAAAAAAATCCAGTCTTAGGAGACTCAGAGAGAATCCCTTTGGTTATAGAAGTCCCTGCTTTGATGAACATCTTCCTCAAGGAACTAATCTTGTTTGTGTGTGCTTCTAGAACATAAAATATATACTGGAAATTCCATGAGAGCAGAAGGGACCATGTCTGTTTTGTTCACTGCTGTATCACCAGAGCCTAGCACACTGCCTGGAGCATAGTAGGTGCTCAACAAATGTTTGTGGAATTAATGAAGAATTCTGAGTTTAGAGAGGCACCATAACATACCTACGATTAGAAGTGCTTGGTTCAGCAGTGTGAGAGCTTGTGCGACTCACTGAATATCCATGTGCCTCGGTCCCCTAGGTCACTGACATACTCTAGAGTTGCTTGTATTACTCATCAGCAATACCAATTTCCCAATGCTTTGGTATACTTTAGGAGTCCCCAAACTTCTGGCAGAGTGGTTTAAAAATTTTTAAATCCTATTTCCTAGCCCATAACATCCATACCACTGTGCGTTAGAGTAGGGGCCCTAAAGGATCAGGATGCCCTCTAATCCTGCTATCCTAAGTCTCAACTATAGGTCACACAGTGGCTCTTTCCTTTTCTTCCTTTCTTTATATCAGAGGATACCAATCACTAAGAAAAATCTAGTGCTCTCAAGGAGAGTGAGACACCGGAGTATACTCATCCAAAAGAAAAGCTGGAGCTTTCTGTTCCCATAAAAACACTGGATCCAGGGAACTAGAGCCATTGAAATGTCAATTTAATCTGCAAGAAAAGTAAAGACCTTCCGACAGAAACCCAGAAAGAAGCACAGCGTTGTTTCTGAGATCTTTTCCAGCTCTAAGCAGAGGGTTGCAGTCTCAAAGACTGGAAGACTCTCTTAAAGTGTCTACTCTTATCTTTACTTTTATTATTTATTATTTTTTCCAGCTTTATTGAGATATAATCGACATATAACATTGTATTAGTTTAAGGTGTACAGCATAATGATTTGATATACTCTTAGCTTTATAAACCACTCTAAGTCCCATCCTCAAGAGTTGATGCTCCTTGTAGAGTTTGGAACATCAGGGTGTATGTACAGCCAGCTAAGTGTGGTGATGCTTTCCCTTAAATTTAGAACTCGTTTATTGATAGTAGTGTAATAAAAAGCAGAAAGCCTGATGCTTCCAATAAATGTAAAAACACCTTCCATCTGTCTCCCTACAAAAAGACACATGCCATAAGAGGTCATAATGCTGCTAGTGAAATTTGCTCATCTATGCTGATCCAGACGGCCTCCCAGAGAAAAAGGAATAAGAAAAGGGGTAGCAAAGAGAAGACAGGAGGGTGGGTGAAAGTGAGGAAAACTAAAACCAAAAAGTAATTCACAAAACCTTAAAAGAGAGGGTGTTGTCAGAAAGTTTTTAATAGGAGAAATCACTGAAGAATTGAAAACAAGGCCTTGTAGAAAGATTCCCTTACATCCTTTGTAGAGTGACCTATAGTTAGAAACACGGATCCTAAAGGCAGATGTCCTGCATTCCAATCCTCTTTGCCATCTATTACTTATGGAACCTTGTGGGGAAATTTGCTTAGCCTCTTGGTGCCTCTGTTTTCTCATTTGTAAGATGTGGATAATAACAAGTATCTCATAGTGTTGTTGTGAAGATTTAAATGAAATAATTAGAGAAATGCCTGGAACATAGTAAATGCTATCTGTTAGCTCCTATCATCATCATCATCATCATCATCACCATCCTCTATTTCCAAAAGTACAGGAGATGCATTTACTTTGTTTAGGTGTTACCCTGACACTTAGGAAATCAAGTGATTTCAAAACTGATAGAACATCTAGACATAAGCCTTACAAAAATGTGAAAAACCTATAATAAGAAAATGATACAATTTTACTGAAGTATATTTAAAAATATTTCATGACATGTACTTCGGTAAACTTGTATATAGTTGGCCCTCTCCATCCACAGATTCAGCCAAAACTATGGATAGAAAATACTCGGGAAAAAATTCCAGTAAGTTCCAAAAGCAAAACTTGAATTTGCCATGTACTGGCAACTATTTACTTAGCATTTACATCATATTCATAACTATTTACATAGTATTTACATTGTATTAGGTATTATAAGTAAGCTAGCGATGATGTAAACTATACGGGAGGATGTACACAGGTTATACACAAATACTACACCATTTTATATAAGGGATTTGAGAATCTACGGATTTTGGTATCCGCAGGGGGTCCTGGAAACAATCCGCTGAAGATACCCAGGGTCAAGTATAGTTTTCTTGCTACGGGTCTCACATATTTATGGCACAGAGTGTAGTGATGCTGCACGGATGTATATTTATCTCCAAACTCATCAAGTTGTACACATTAAATAGGTAGAGGTTTTTGTTTGTTAATTGTACCTCGATGAAGTGATTTTTAAATATTTAATGAAATGGAGACTTAAATTATCTTCTAATATGAAATTGATTGATCCTGTAAAGATGTAAACTCCCTCCAAAATAACCTAAATAATTGAATGCAATCCCAATCACAGTCTCAATAAAATGTTTTTTCTTTTGCTGTTATTGTTTTGCTTTGTTTTGTTTTCTGGTGGGGGAATTGACAAATTGATTGTGAAAATTCATTCTGTTTGGAAGATCAGGCTAAATTGCTCTACTAGATCTGAGCTGTGAAAGGCCTTTGAAAGGCACAAGACCTAAAAGCAATAAAGAATTTGAATACATAAAAATGTAATACTTCAAAATGCCAGAAAATACTACAAGTATATTGTCTCTTACATATAGTGTGTTGCACATCTGTTACATGTATGACATGCATATGCACATTTAAAATGTGTGTATGTACACAAATACAGAACATTATACAAATGTATACATACACACTTATCCACAGCAGAGAAAGGATTAATAGCCAGAATAAGTAAATAGATCCTCCAAATTAATAAGGAAAAGATAAACAACCCACTAGAAAAAGTGAGTAACATATAAATAAGATATTTAAATAGAATGACCAAACATGAAATGATGCTCAGTTTCACTCATAAAGTAAATTATTAAAACAGTTATTTTATAATTATATAAATATTTAGTTTAAGATATAAAGAAACAGGCATCTTCATACACTGCTGGTGGGAATACAAATTCATGCAACCTTTTGGCAGTACTGCTAAAATTCTAAATATGCATATCTTTTCTCCCAGCAATTCTACTGCTAAGAAGTTATTCTACAAAGTCTCATTCCAGTATACAGGTGCTTATAAAGGTGTTCACAGGAGCATAGTCTGTAATCAGAGAAAAACTTTTTTACATGGATGGAAAAATTATAAACAAACTTTAATCCTACCAACAGAAGATTAGGGAAATAAGAAAGAATGGTCCAATTCATATAAAGGAAATATATAGTATATTTATCATTATTATATATATATATAGATAACTGTTGAAGAAATATTGGCATACTTTTGGAAAAAACATGCTGCTGAATAGAATGTTTAATTTTCCTTTTTTGGCAAATATATATATACACATATATATGTTATATGTATGTTTATATTTATATAATAAAAAGAAGTCTGCACTACTTTGTATAAAATAGATAACTAATGAGAACCTGCTGTATAGCACAGGAAAGAAAGAAAAAGAGAGAGAGAGAGAGAGAGAGAAAGAAAGGAAGAGAAAGAGAGAAAGAGAGAGAGGGAGGGAGGGAGGGAGGGAGGAAGGAAAGAGTCTGGAAGGATATACACTAAATGGTAAACAGATTACCTTTGGGAAATGAGATTACATCTCCTATTTTGTATATATTCTGTACAGTTTTGAGTCTTTACCATAACCATGTCTGATTTTTATAATTAAAAAGAATAAGGACCAAAAATAGTAATACATGATCATGGTAAAAAGAAATCCAAACCATATAAAAGGGTATAAAGTAAAAGCTAATAAAAGTCAGCTGACTTCTCATTTTCACTCGCTAGAGGTAAATGGTTCCTTGCATATCTTTCTAGAAATAGTCTGTGCATATACAATTACCTGCAGGCCATCCGGTTTGTGTATGTATTACTTTTATAATGCATACATATTTTAATTAGATGATGTGATTACCCTCAAAATTCTCAGGAGGAAGAGTATCATCATTTCCAGATTTTTCTCCCCATACTACTGTCAATTCTAGGTATGTAAAAAGCTTCAAGACCAGTAGAACTTCATGAACAATTCTTAGTAGAGAAAAAAAGAGGGCACATTTCCTCCTTTATTTGAAACATAGGGCTTTGCCAAGCAGGGTCAGCACCTAATAATAAGGAAACGGTCCAAAGCTGTACCCACAGCTGTACCAGCTCCAGTCCAAGCTAGAGGCTTACTCATCTCGGGATCCCTCTTTTACAAGTGGGAAATTAAGACAGTGACCTCTTTGGTAACTTCCTCTAAAGATTACAGAGAAGGTCAGAACTGGGACCAGGCCTGACTCGCATCAGTATTCATTCCACACCCCTTTTTCTTTCTCCCCACTGAAGTTGGAGGGAGTGATTAAATCAGCGGTTCCCAAAAGTGGCTGATCAGAATCAACTGGAGTATGTTAAAAATGCAGATTCTTGGCCTCCCCACACTCAGATTGATTCAGGTCTGAGTATGGGATGTAAGTTTTAAAGGAAGCTTTCATCCAGTAATTATGTTTTCTCATGATCCGTAATATTTGGGAACCTCTTACTTAAAGGCAGCCATCCCTAAACCAACCAACCAACCAACCAACCAACCAAACACACTCAGTACAATTTAAACACTGTGGGTAGGGAACATGTCCTACTGGCTTCTGGTATTACTCGCTTCTTCTGGGTCCAGAGAGGGTTTTTCTGTGGCATTTTTAGTCTAAACACCTTACCCCAGTTTCAGAAATCTGGTAGGCCTGAGATGTCTGGCTCCGCAAGTTGACTCTCAGTGCTGTACAATAGAACTAGTTCTATAATACCAATAGAGTAATCACTAGGCACACATAGCTACTGAGCACTTGAAATGTGGCTAGTATGACTGAGGAAATCAATTTTTAATTTTAATTTAAATAGCCACATGAAGCTGGTGGCCAGTATATTGGACACTCAGGTCTAGATTTCTAAGACCCTTGATTTCAGTGGAGCCCTCCCCTCTCCTGACACCACTCACCTCTACCCACGGGGACCTCTGCAGAGATCAGGGTCACATAGAGCTGACAGGTCAGCTGGGGCACTGAGCCCAGGAAGGCTTGGATCTGTGACATACGTTTGTAGGCACTGCGGTGCATAGCCAGGGTCCGGATGGAGTGGCCCACCTCCCATTCTATCAGCACCTCCTCGCCATTTATTAGCATCTTCTTTCGGGTGAGGCTGACATAGGGCTCCTCCTGCCTTGCTTTCTTCCACAGTGTGAGGTACTTAATCATGGCTTCCAAACATCTGCAGAAGTAAAGCATCATGAGTTTCATTTTTGTCATTTTGTTTCCTTTCCTATTTTTTTCCTATTTGTTTCCATTTTGTTTCCTTTTCCTATTTTTTTCCTATTTGTTTCCTTTCCCATTTTCATTTTGTTTCCTTCCTAAAGCTGTCCTAGGAAGGAAAGTTGTAGTGAGGGGGTAAAAATAACTCAGGAGGGCTGTGCTACTTTTTGCCATTCCTTCTCTCCTGTTCTACTCATTTCTCATGAGGCAAGGAGTTGGTCATGCCTTCCACGTGTCACTTCAGTCTAAATCCTTTGTGTTGGGTTGGCAATCGACCAACCTAAGAACGCCAATTCAGAAGTGTTTGAGGACTTAAGAATAAGCCTGTGACATAAAAATGGCTAGAACACAAAGACATTAAAAATTTGTTGAGAGAAAATGATGAAGGTTCCAAAAGGCTCTGGTTTTCATAACACCTCAGGTTCCTGAAGTAAAGCATTCCTTATTCAAAGCTTTCAGCTCCATAATCAGAACTTTTGAGCTCTGCTTTTTCAAAACAAAGCCCACAACTATAACTGTCTCAGCCAAAAAGTCTTGGAAGGGATCTGGAAAAATCTCTCAGATACACAGGAAAGCCATTTAGCAACGGAGGTACTTAAAAGGCTTGACAACTCAGAACTGAATATACTATATACCTAGGGAACCTCAAAAGATCTCTTTAAAGGTTGTTCTGGGGCCTCTTGACCTGTTTGGGAACAATAGCCTTTTAAACTTCATTCTTTCTCTACAAAGAGTAAAACATACTTAGGAGATCTTATCATCCTTGAAATAATATTAAGACCACATTTCCTGCTGTACCCGTCCCATATCCCCCATATAAATCAGAAGTCTTTAGCAGTTCTGATGTGGTGAAAAGAGAAGCAACTAGAACATCTTGTTTTGGAACACCTGAGTTACTACTTCCCCCACTCACACTGAAATAAATGGAAACTGTGAACTATTTCTTCTAAGTAAGAACAGTTGTGTCAAAAATTAAGCAGTCTTTCCTGATAGGCTGAGGGCACGGGTTGCATTTATCTTACTCACCGCCCTTATCACATAGTGGGCATTTGATAAATATTTGCTGAGTAAATGAAAGAGTTAGAAGGAAAAAAAGAATACAGGGTGAGAAGTGATGGAAGGAGAAGATAATAATTAATAATGGCAATGTAATTTAACAACAACAAAAAGAAACAGACCAAAGACGAGCTCAGATTTATATGCTCTGTAGGCCTTTGGCTCCCAATAGAAAAGCTTGGAACAGTGCTGGCTGCCATTCTCCATAGGATCCCTTTTTAAAAAAAAAATATTTTATATTGGACTATAGTTGATTTACAATGTTGTGTTAGCTTCAGGTGTACAGCAAAGTGATTCAGTTATACATATACATATATCTATTCTTTTTCAAATTCTTTTCCCATTTAGGTAATTACAGAATATTGAGCAGAGTTCTCTGTGCTATACAGTAGGTCCTTGTTGGTTATCTATTTTAAACATAGTAGTGTGTATATGTCAATCCCAAACTCCCAATTTATCCCTCCCCCCATCACCTTTCGCCTTTGGTAACCATAAGTTTGTTTTCTAAGTCTGTGAGTCTGTTTTGTAAATAAGTTCATTTGTATCATTTTTCCACAGGATCCCTTTGAGACTGGTGCATTGTACTGGCCTAAAGCACATAGTTTGAAACATCCATGTTGTAGGGAAAACTCTAAAATCCAGGAGAGAAAAAGATGGAAGGAGAGAACAGAAAAGGAAAAAAAGCAACTTTCTCTTCTTATTCAGGAAAAATGCATAAGTGCATTTCCACCAAGAGAGTTTAGATTTTAACCCAAGCCCATCAATACTATTGCTGAATAAAACATTGGGGGAGGCGGTGGCATGAAGAATTCTGTTTGTGCTTCTATTCTTAAGGCCATTTACTGGTTTAAGTAAGAGTGTTTGCCTTGCTTATAAGCGGCAGCAAATGAGAGTACATTTTCATTTTCAGAAGTATCTTTGCATTTCATATAAGGGAGCCAGGACCTCCAAACACCTTCATGTGCCTAATAGCATTCATCAAGTTCCTGCCTACCTAAAAAGTAATTTGCCTTGAAAATAAGCATTATCAAGGATATGATTTATGAGCTTTTAATTATTTTTTCCCTGCTGTGGGGTAGCTGACTGAGATTATAAATGCTTTCCAATCATTTCTAGTGGGAGCTAAATGACAAAAATGAAACATAGTACTCAACACTCCATATGGATGGTCCAAATCAAAGATGGCTTGGGAGGCCACAAAGCAAAGAGAAGTAGAAACGCAGCTGGGGCAGAACTTACTGAAATTTGCATCTGAAGAGTGATTGATCCGTTAACTCAATTTATTGCATTTGAAAAGGGCAAGAAGAATGGTTTCCTTGCTCCTCTAATGACATCTCTAAATGACATCTTGGTTCCAAGTTCGAGATGAGGTCTTCCTTTCACAGTTTAACTTCAAAGATTTAGAACTGGAAAGGCCCTTTAGATTACCTAGTACAGAGGTTGCATAGGCCAGTTGAGTCACATCTGACGAACAGCTGTGGCGTGTTTGGCCCAGACAGTTCTTTTATTTAATTACCAAAATCAGTTGTCAACATGTTCAATCATTCCATTTCACATAAAATCCTGTCTTGGGAGCTTGTCCTGAAAAGTTGCGGCCTTGGCAATACGGGGTCTGAATTCCAACAGGGAAACAATGGGCTGGAGCTGTAGAGAGGCTGGCCTCCTTTAGGCAGATCTTGCGGACTCCAGATTACCACAGTACTCACTAACACTCCATCATTTCTCTAACACCGAGACTTCATTTTTACTTATCATCACACATGAAACTACTGTTTTTTCTCATCCTTGGCTTGCTTCACTCATTTATGATACCTGCCTGGCCCCCGTAAGTGTTTGAGTTTACGACCCATGATATAGCCCAACCCATTTATTTTACAGATGAAGGACCTGAGGCTCAAGGCATCTTCAGGGATTTCACCAAGGCCATGTAACTAGTCAATGGCAAGGGCAAACTAGATTCCAGGTCTCCTGAATTCCAGGCCACTGTTTCTGTTGATGTCTCATATTTTCGCTGATGGAGCGTAATCAATTCCTCCCCATTTAAACATATTGATAATTTTTTTTAAAGGGGGCAGTTCCATCCAGAACTTCAGACTGTGTTTATTTCTAAGGATGAAATATCTTCCCATTGCAATTACAACATCAACACTCTGACCCATATTCCTCAGCTGACTGCAAGTTTCTGCCTCTCTTGCAATCAAGATAAATTTGGTCCATTCTTTCCTACTGACCTCAGAAGTTTTGCAACATCTCTCTACCTTGAAAATCACATAGCATCCAGATGAGACTTCTGACACAGATGCCTGTATTCCTAGGATAAGTCACATTCTTTCTTTTGTTTTTTAACATCTTTATTGGAGTATAGTTGCTTTACAATGGTGTGTTAGTTTCTGCTTTATAACAAAGTGAATCAGCTATACATATACATATATCCCCATATCTCCTCCCTCTTGTGTCTCCCTTCCACCCTCCCTATCCCACCCCTCTAGGTGGTCACAAAGCACCAAGCTGATCTCCCTGAAGGCACATTCTTGTCCCTTCAAAACAATCTGAATGGAAAGACTCAATACTATTACATTGTGCTACAGCATCCAGATGGAGAGATAGGCTATCTTCCTTTGCCCCCTTCTAACCGTGTACCTTTATTGCAGAAAGATACAGAGATAAATAGGAGACCAATAAACTGACAGAGAAAAATAAACTACAATGGGTTTGGGTACCAGATGAGCACAAATGGCTTAAAGTACTTTCCAGATGTCAAATAACTCCAGAAAATTTGAAAATATCAGTAGCAGCAGCCCAAGCAACTCAGGGTAAAGAAACTGAATGTGAGATGGGATGGAGGGGGTAAGGAACTTCCATCCAATTTAAAGAGCATCTAAAAGGCAGAGTCAAAATAACACACTCTGAAGCTATAGCCTGTGTTTACAAGGTGACCACATCAATTGGTCTCATACCAATTTCACAACCCGAATCCAGATAGCAAACATTGTCAAATGAAGTCTTATTAACGGTACCATACATGGTTTCGGAACACAGGTACATGCCATATGTTCATTGTGGTGGCACTTAAGACTGCAGATAAGACTTTTTGGATGGTAGGCAGGGAAACCAAGAGTGGGAGGGAATGGGAGAATCGATTCGATTCAAGGCACAGTAACAGCCTTAAAAATATTAAATTCATCTTTCTCTGCACAGTTGGGGGGTAGGGGAGGAGGGAAAAGATTTAAAAGTTGCTCACCTGATAACAGGTCCCAAGAGGATTAGATGCATAAACAATGATAGTGGCTTGTCTTTGGCCAGATCTCTGTGGACAAAAATGAGGGTCAACTGGACCATAATGGATGAAAACATAAAGAAGGAAAAGGTGTATGCCATCCAGTAGGTTTCACTATTCTTCCGATAGATTCTAACCATGTACAAGGCAGATGCTGCCTCCCCACAGTACAAAAACGTGGAGAAGAGGATGCCAAATGGAAAGGTAAATCGGGGGTTCGTCCCACGGATGACATCTTCCTCCAGAGAGGATATCGGCTCCACGCTTGGCTCCTCAGGAATTTCAAAAACTCGGTCCATTGTCGAGGTTCTGAGTGTTGTGGTCTGGTCTTCAGAGCACTCCCATCCCCACCTCCCAAGAGAACCCTGTAACCACTGCAGTGCAAGTATTGGTTAGGAGAGCTGTCAAGTCCAATTCCAGAACGGAGATCTACTAGTTAGAGCAGGAGACCGCTCTCTTCTCGTCTCAAATTAGACTTGTTGGAGTCTGGGATGAAGAGCCCAGGAGTACCACTTTGAAACTAGACTCTTGATTGGCCCAGGATTCCAATCGTCAACTACGTGCTGTGGAAGTTGGACAAGGCAAAAGCAATCATCTTAGCGCCCAGTCCGGAGTCCAATTCCAGGCGCGTCAAGAGCCATGGGAACAGCTGTTTCCGTGGCGGCTCCGCCTTTCGCAGCCCCCCAGGCAGGACGGGTAGCCACTCTCGCGGGCACCGACACTCAGCAGCTCCTCTTGAGGAGCCCTGACCAGTGTGCTCTCTCAAATCAGCTGAGAACTGAGCCAGGGCAGAAGAGGGGGCGCAGCCTGAGCGTCCCTTCGGGGATCCAGTTCACTGCCCAGGCACCCTAGCTAATGCTAGGCTGCGGCTATTAGCTCGCCTGCTCGCCGGCGCTCTCTCCGCACCCGCGCTCAGTCAAGAGTTCTCACGGCGGCTTCTCCAATTCCCCAAGCTCCGCCCCCAAGGCCGCCAGGCCAGGGACAGGAGCAAAGTCACAACCCCGGCCCCGAGCGCAGTCACCGGGGAGAGAAGCAGAGCACGCGCCCGCTGCAGGATCAAGAGAAAGCTGGAGGGGCTTCTTTTCCACAGAGAAACTTTACTAGCGAAAAACACGACGTGCGGGGCGCCAACCCGGCCCGACGGATGTCGGCAAACTCTTGGGCGCCGTCTGCTGCCGGGGTCCTGCCTGGCTCGCAGTTCCAGCTGTGAGAGGTCGGTGGCTTCAGGAACGAAGGCACCGATGGCGGGGCTGCACGAAATGGGAGAGACAGCTGGGGCCAAACAAAACCAGCCTGCGACTTCCAGGGCGGGCAGATGAAGGATGCTCGGTGCACAGAGGCGCGACAAAAAGGGGCTTGGGCCAACCTTCAGAAGCACTTCTCATCACGACCCCCGGACCCTGGAGGGAGCCACAGCTTTCCTCTTCGCCAACAGCAGCAGATCCCCAGTTCTACCCCGCCCTCCCTAACTAGCTCGCTTCCACACTCGCTCAAGCCAGGCGGTTAAGCAGGAATGTCTCTCTCGGCCTCAGGGTTGAATTTCCCTAGGTCCTATTGCCCTACAGATTTTATCAAGGTGGGGCTGGGGAGAGACCTGGAGGGCAATTGGGCCGTAGAGTTTCCTTTCCAAGCGAGAGTGTATGTAGCAGAAGGAAGAAAGAGAAAGAGGGAATGTCAAAGAAAGACTCAAAGTCAGCCCACAGACCCATATTATATGCCTTAATTTCTCCACTTGCAAAATGAGGCCAGGATGGGAACTTAAGAATGAACTTTCAGGTCTTTGGCTGTAAGGTTCTGAAGAGGTGCCAAATTCTAAATAGACTGGAGAGGAGCCAGGAGAGCTATTAGTAAGAACTGAGAGGTGTGTCTTAAAGAGCTCTGAAAATTGCCTAGATTCTTAAGAGCAATCTTCCCCCACCTTGCTGAGCTTTTGTTTTTGTGCCTTCATTTGCATAATTCTAAACCCCAGGGGAAAAGAGAAAACATCTGCCTCCTGGTAATAATATAAATGTAGCCTGTGCCAATCTCCTTTTGCTGCAGGAAGTCAGTAAAAAAGATCTATGTGAGGAGTGACCAAGTAGCAGCCACCAAAATGATGGCTTCAAGAAAGGCTTAGTCTTGCTGTTGTATTGGTTTTTAAGATTCCTGCAATTGCTGTCTCCTTTCCCCAGGGCTGATTCAAGAACAGATCAGCTTCAAAAGGTTGTTGCTTTTGAAGCAGATGTCCCATCTTGGTCTGTACCTGTGTTAGCAGCTGGGTTAGGAGGCTGACCCTTCCTCCTTTCTGTTTCACAAGGCGGGGCAATGCTATGTGAGAACACTTCATAGTGTTGATGGCTTGGGCCTTTCCAAAAGGCACAAAGTTCTCTGCCAACAGTATACGGTGCAGAACTTCTTGTAGGCTTCTTCAGGACCTATTCCCAAGATGGATCACAAGTAGGGTGAGAAACTCATCTGTTTGCTGTGTTGGGATGAGTTGGCCACCCTGACATGGGAGACTGAAACTAGGAAGAATGTAGAATCCCCATGTTTTTCTTTTAGCCTCTCCTTCTTCCTTGTGCCCTTCTCATTCATCAAATACACAAATCTACACTGCCTTCCTACTTTGTTCCAATATGACTCCTTCTGTCTGACATTTAAGGCTCTCTATAATCATCAGACTATTTTCCTCTCCAACTTCATCACCCACGCTACCCTGCCACACCCTTTGCTTCAGTCCAGCAGGTTTTCTCACTTAATCACACTTGCCTTGCTCTCTCAGTGCCGTGTTGAGGCCGTTTACAACCCCCTTCACTCTTTTCTGCATTAGCCCAAAGCCTAATCTCTTTCAAGGGTCAGTTCAAGTATTACCTCCTCCGGGAAGCCTTCCCTCACCTCCCCAGCTCTCACTTTTCCCTCTGTCTTCGTGCTACTGGCATATACTCTCTTGCTCTAGTCCTTCAACGCCTTCTGTCTGCCCTGCCTCCTAAACAGAAGTATAGACTCAGGGAGGGATGCTCAATGTTTATTGTGGTTCTTGTTGATGATAGTGATTAACAAATAGTGATGATGATGAAGCTTCCTCCCCTGTGTTTCCTCCAGGAAAACATACAAGACTCAGGCACACTCATCTCTAAAAGCTGTAGCCCCTGTAGCTGGAGCATAAAGTCCTGTGGGGCACCTACTGCCTCAGTCAGCCATTCAGCTCACAGAGGATGTCAGCCCACATGATCTCTCCCTTCTCAGAGCTCCTACAGCACTTTTTTGGGTCAATCCCACAGTTTAGCACCAAATTACAAATTATTTCAAGTATATTAATCTTTATTTCACCACTAAATTACCATAAGCTCCTTGAAGGCAGAGACCCTACTGTTACATTTTTTTTGGACCCCCAAGGTTGATATATACGTGTAAATCTCCTGCCATTTGATCCCCCTCACCCACTAGCTTCTCTGTTTTCAGCCCTAGGACTCTCTGGCGCTTTAGGTCACTAAATCCTCTGGTCTCTTATTTCCTTGTTCCTTTTGCCCTGCTGGGAGAAACTGACTGAGAATTTGCCCTGTTTCTGTCCAACTCTCCTTCCTCTTTTAGACAATCTCTAGACTCCAGCCCTTTACTCTTCTTAAGACTACAGACCTGGAAATGTTGATACTCATCAGACTGCTGAGGACCTGGGAACCCCTTCCCCATTAGGAGCACTGTTCTCCCAAGGACTGATCATCTGAGGTGATAACCCCGTGCTTCCCCTTGAATGCTAGGCCGTGTTCAGGGGTTTGGTTCTGCAAGAAAGGGAGACCCAAGATTTGACTCCCCACTCCCCCTACCTCCAGCCCCCGACTCAGCAGGAACAGAGAACGGGTCTAAAAGCAGTTTGATCGAAAAGCTCTTGGCGTATTCATCAGCTTTCAGAACCCCTCTGAACTACGTAAGGTTCGGAGATAGGTTTGAGCTTACAAAGCCCCTACAGCCAGAGCTGATTCATAAGAGGTAGCTGGCATCCATGAAGGAAGAGGAGAGGAAGGAGAGAGATGTGCTGCAAGTGGCTGATAGTCCAGTCACAGAACACTATCTGGTGAGAGGTGATGGACAAGGCCTGGAGAATCAGTAGTTAGGATGGAAGAATGGCTTCCGTCTGTAGAATGCTCGGTTTGGACTGTTAGAATCCTTAAGAGATATGTAATGCAAAATCAGTCAGGTATCCTCTGGGCCTTCTCTTTTTGCTCTAAGCTCCCTGAGGACAAAGACTTTTGATTATCCTTTTCCAAGCCACTCCCTCACCATCCATTTTCCAAAGTGGCTGCACCATTTTACATTTCTATCAGCACTGTGTTTCTCCACATCCTCAACGGCACTTATCTTTTTTCATTATAACCATCCTAGTGGTTTTTCATTTGCATTTCCCTGATGGCTAAATTGATTGATTGTGTGTGTGTGTGTGTGTGTGTGTGTGTGTGTGTGTGTGTGTGTACAAGGTCGTTTGAACACTAGCTGGCCACATTCATTCAGTTATTTCAATAAACATTTATTTGTAATAGCAGTAAGACAAAGAGCTCTGCTCTCAAGGGGTTCACAGAGTGTAATGGTATAATAGACATTTGTCCTTTTAGGGGTGTCGCTGTACAGCATTTGAACCCTTTATCTGGGGGAGAGGACACAGGACTCTTGCTAAGAAGCAGGGCCCCCTTGTAGTTGGGGCACAGGCATGTGACTTAGGCTCCCTCAATCCAAGGATCCATCCCTTGAATTGGGAGCCAGTGACCCAAAGAAGTGGACAATCTTCTCCAATTCAGACAGTCATGAAAATGTGCCTCTTGGTTCTTCCAATGTGGGAAGTGTCATTGACCTTTGCCCCAGCTGCTGTGCTTTAAATTCACCCCAATATTTGCTGCTTTGTTCTGAAGCCACACTGCTCCCAGCCAGTGACTGAGCACAGCAGGGATACTAAGTCAGCCCCATTTCTGGGAGACACAGGACTATGTGGCCTGTGACTGTGGCAACAGAACTCCCCATCAGCCTGGTCAAACTTTATTAGCACTGCACTTCAGTCTATGACACTTCCTACCTAACCTTCTTCTTTCCTTCTCTCATCCATAAAGGTCAGATTGACACTGCAGTTTAACATCTCTCCCAGCTTCCTCCCTATGTTCTCTCACTGACATTTTCCCCAATAAATCTCCTGCATATCTAATCCCAGCTTGGTTTCTGCATCTCTGAGGACCTAAGCCAACACACTAATGGTGCTAGCATGGTGGTAGTAATGGTGATAGCTGTGATGTTGGCTGTGTAGCCCTGAGTCTGGTTCTCCAGTCCAACTTGTGATTCTGGGAGCTATTCAATATGCTTTTAAGACAAGCATTTTTTGCTTAAATTAGCCAATCAATTTCTGTTGCTCACAACTAAGAACCCTCTGGATTATAGGGGAAGGGACAAAAACATTCAACTACAATACAGTGTGACAAGGGTTATGATAGAAGCACAGAATCTGTGGAAGCACATAGGAGGCACCTAACCCAGTCTTTATATCCTCTCAAATGAAATATCCATATGCTACCTGGAATTGCTGGTCAGCTCTTCTCACTAATTTTACAGGCCACCCCAAATTCAAAGGCTCACAACCACCTTCTCAATTTACCATTCCTTAGGAAGTAGTTCTCATAGTTACATTCACATAAGAATTATTTGGGAAAGAAGACTACTTGCAGATTCCAGGGCCCCATCCTTCGAGTAATGCAAGTGCTCAGAGGATCATAACTTGAGAAAAACTGTCCCAGGGACAGCTCTACAATCTGCTCCTAAAACAATTTTATCCATCATCATAGTGCGCATTTCATAAATACTGGCAGCAGTTGACCCCTCTGTGGCCTGAGCCAAAGTGAAGATAGACTTAAGAGTCAGTCCACACATGGGTCCTTGATTTCCTTGGGCTGCCCACGAAGAATATCACCTGTAGTTTGCTCCCTAGCACAATTCAGTAAGAATTAAACTATCCGCACACACTTTCATATTCTTTCCTATTGGGCACATTATATGCTTGTTGGACCTTAAGGTGTTTGACCTTATGGCCAAGGAAAGGAGATATTCCAGCCGTGCCAAGAGGAGAAAGGGACTCCTCCTACACTATACGATGACTCAACGGATGAACTAAGAGTAGAAAGCTTGTGTAAGATCATAAATCTTACGCCATTACCAGACATCCTTCCCAGTACTCCTGCCTCTCCTACTTGGCTTTACTACTAAAGGGTCCCCCAATTGTCAAGGACTTCAGTTCTAACTTTTAAAAAAGATCGAGTTATTATTAGTGGGAGAAGTCAGAGCAGCAGGGAAAAGTAGGATAAATTAGGTTGGCAAAGTCAGATCCCGGGAAGAGAAATCATGTAAAGACAGGGTAGTGAGATCACCGTGGGCCAGATAATGCACAGTCCTGCCTGGCAGGACAGAAATCAGGCCATGCCAAATCTCTCTGACCCACAGCAGTGTGGTGTAGTAAAAAGAGCTACATTATAGACTGGACTAAAACACTGTGGGTTTTAATCCTGGATCTGCTTCTAAATCTTTGTGTGATCTTGGTCCTCTCTGGGATCTCCAAGATTCTGTCTAGCTTAACATCCCACGACATCGGTGTAGTTAGGCATGGCTAGGCCTCCTAGAATCTTTGATTCCACACGTAGTACTGTGGTTTTATCGCCACCAAGCAACTGAACAAGCTAATGACCGAAGTGTCCTAATCAATTTCTCCTAGAGATATACTCTCACATGTGAAATATAATATGTATAAGCATGTTTATAACAGCCAAAGGTTGGACACTACCTAAACATCCATCAACAAAGAACTGCTTAAATAAATTCTGGTATATCTCTAATAATTATGGAACGCTGTGCAGCCATGTAGCCATAAAGAAGCTCTTTATGTACTGATATGAAACAGCCTTCTATGTAAAAAGTGAAAAAAGTAGGGTGCAGAATAGCATTTATGGTATGCTACAATTGTATAAAAATTAGGGGTGTACATATACAAATATGCATAGAATATCTCAAGAAGGATACACAAGAAACTGGTAACAGTGACTGACTCCAGTGAAGGGAAATGGACAATGAGGGAGATGGTAGTAGGGAAAATAGATATTCATCTGTTCAAAACATAAAAAAGAACCTTAACGAGCCATGTCACAAACCCATCTTTTTCAACCATCTAGCAGAACGTAAGTGAACAAAGTTGGAAGTGACTTTGTTTCTGAAAGCAGAAAGAAGAGTCTAAGGCAATTTCTTGGCTCAGCCTGTCTCAGAAGTGTGTAGGTAGCTATGATGGGTCTTCAGCTGTTTCCTTCCCTCTCTGCCTTCAAGCTTGAAGGTACATCTTGAGAGTTGCTTCAGGCAGCTGACTGTCAACAGAAACTGGAGAGACTAGGAGAAGCTTCTATTCCGGTGAGGCCTGGAAGAAAAGTGAAGCAGAAGCCAAAAGTTCACAAACTACCAAGTAGGCATCTAAAGAGAATTTCTCATTCCTTGAAAAACCTGTCACTGCACCCACAGTACATCGTGAGCTCACTGACACCAGATGAGATATATATCTTTGCATTATCAGTCCATTATCAGTCCCCTATAAGAACAAAAAAGAGTTCATTCTTTTTTTCTGAAATGAGTATCATAAAGAGCATTCACTGAAAGCTAGTAGCAATATAAAAGGTACAAAGTTTTAAAAGATATATAATTCATAGCCAAGAACTAACCATAGATTAAAACGTTCAGTGGGAAGAACAATTTGTCCTCTATTTAGACTTATTTTATGAAGGATAATCATATGTTAAATTTAGTGAAGAATCATGCTTTGAAATACAACTCATTAAGCAAAAAGTCTAGGGCTTGGGTTTAATATTCTGGATGGGCAAATTTAACACTTTGTTGGTGAAGATTAGCTTTAACTATTATATAACTTGGAATAAATGAAAGAGCTCTTTAGTTTTCTTTTATTATTATTAATTTTCTTTTTTCTTTTTTTTTTTGGCTGCATCGGGTCTTAGTTGCAGCACGTGGGATCTTTTGTTGTGGTGCGCGGACTTCTCTCTAGTTGTGGTGTGTGGGTTTTCTCTCTCTAGTTGTGGTGCACGGGCTGCAGAGTGCGTGGGCTCTGTAATTTGTGGCTCTGTATGTTGAGGCATACAAGCTCAGTGGTTGTGGCACACAGGCTTAGTTGCCCCGTGGCATGTGGGATCTTAGTTCCCCGACCAGGGATCGAACCCATGTCCCCTGAATTGGAAGGTGGATTCTTTACCACTGGACCACCAGGGAAATCCCAAGAGCTCTTTAGTTTAAATAATATTAATACCAGCATTAATTGAGTGCTTATTATGTGGCAGGTACTGTTGTAAGTCGTTTATGATGTGATTTAATACTCACGATGCCCTTATGGGATGGGGCTATGATCATTTCCAGCTGACAGATAAGGACATTGAAGCGCAGAAAAGTTAAGTGGCTTGTCTGAGCTAAAACAGCTTAGATAGTACGGCTGGGATTTGAGCCTAGGCAGTCAAGCTGTGGTGCCTGGGCCCTAGTCATTTAAAACAACAAACAAATTGTGTGGAAAATTCAAATAGGGCCTGCAGGGAAATATTAGGAATCGACTGAACAATTCCAAGGACACCAGCCAGAAAGATCAGGATTTGTGAAGTCCATATCTGAACAGTCACTTAAATGGTTTCCTTGGCTAGTTTCTATATCCTACATCTTCTGTCCTTATCAAGCTTCCTATGATTCCTCTATCAACATGTCACTCCTTTGATCAAAAAGTTTCCAAGGGCTCCTTTCTGCCTATCTGATAGATCTGAAACTTGAATGTGCATCATACACACCTGTGGAGCTTACTTATAATACTGATTTCCTAAGCTGTGACCCAGAAAAGTTGATTTAGTAGGTTAGGGTGGGGCCTGGGAATCTGTGTTTTAAACAAGCTTTGCAAAACATTGGCCTATGTGGACAAAGCCCAAACACTTTGTTCTAGCATTCAAGGCTGTCCATGACCTGGCCCCAACCCATCTAACTCCTGATATGAATACTCTATTCTAGAAAGGCCATTGTCCTCTAACTTCTCATATAGGAAGCGTTTCTAACTCTAAACCTTTGCCCACACCATCCTACCCATCTGGAATGACCTCCTGCCTTCTTTCCTCCTATCCAAACACTATACATCCTTCAAGGTGAAGCCCTAGTTTCACCTGCTCTACAAGACTTAAAATCCTTAAACTCTCCAGACCAGAAGGATTGAACAATTAAGTCTCTACTGTCTGACCTCAATCCTTTTGGTATTTAACTGGTTTCAAGAGTATATGCCTTGCTTCCCCAATTAGATTGATGGCTGCCACTACCCACATGTGGCTATTTAAATTTAAGCTAATTGATTAAATACAATTAAAATTTCCATTCCTCAGTCACACTAGCCACATTTCAAGTGCTTAACAGCCACATGTGTATTGGTCAGCACAGAGAGAGAACATTTCCACGTCACAGAAAGTTCTAATGGACAGCATTGTAGGAGTCTGCTATGGCTGTCACAGCCACAGCTACCTTCTTATATACACTCCCTATAAACATTGCTTGCTGTGAAGTTAAGTAAATATGTATCCTGACCACAAAAAAGTGATGCATTTTCTTTTTAAACTCTGATTCCTATTTCCAGTAAAAATAAGGAGCTCAGAAGATAAGTTTCGAATGTAAATATCACTCAGCATTTCTAATCAAGTCTCAAAACCCTTGCCTTTTCTCAGCTCTCATCCTCCTTGACCCCTCGGCTGTATGTGGCATTATGTAGAGCAGATTTCCCTTGTCTACTCAAAATGCTCTCCTCCTTTGCTTCCATGACGCTGTAACAACCAGAACGATCACCATTAATATACTGAGCTCTTACTGTGTGCAAGGCACTGTGCTAAGCATTTTACATACCTCATCAACCATATTAGGTAAATACTATTATCACCATTTTATAGATGAGGTATCTAAAGTTCAAAGAGGTTAATTGATTTGCTCAAGGTCACAGAGCTAGTAAGTGGTGGTGTTTTGACTAGAAACCTAAACCTCTCTTAAGGTTTTTCTCAAGGGTCATTACTAGATCAAATGCCTAAAATAGGCAAGGCAGACCATCAATTACAACATCAAAGAAAGGAAACAACCCATCGAAGGGAATCTCTTCTTTTCTTTTCTCCCTTTTTCTTCCCTGCCCTTCTAAAACTCTCTTTTATTCTATCTCACATAGGCCTCTGATAGATTTTCAAGGTCTTAACAGCCTGGGGAATTTAAACCCACTTAATAAGTACTTGAGAAAAAGTAACCATAGTAGGTCAGGGAGAGCAGGGACCATATATTGCCTTTCATTTTCAGGAATTCTGTTTTTTCCTAAATACCCTGTAGGCCCTTAACATTAAAACTTGTGTTGTTCAGGACTTGGAATTTCGATTCAAGCACTCTGCCAATAGTCCATTTTAATTACACTGGAGACTGTTTATAGCTTTTCTGTTCTCTGGGCTAGACTTTGTGTCCAGCAGCTACTACTAGAGGTAGTCAAACATAATAGAAATGCTGGAGGAGTCTGGCTTTAGGCTGGAACAGTCACCTACTTACTAGTGTTTCACATTGCCCTGTTTACTGATACCCTTAAGCAGGTCAAACGTAAGCATTCGTGGCCAGTACACCGAGGGTGAGGATATAGGAAAAAAAGTTTATAGCAACTCTGAGCCCTGACTTCATGTAAAAGAGACAACCTGTTGATCCCCTAAACTCACCAGGCTCCTATAATGTGTTCTGAGCTACGTAAGGCGTAGTTACTCGAGACAGGGAGCTACGTTAATGACTATGCAGACCCTTTAGGGTTTGAAGCCTCCATTACTTAGGTTAAAGAATAATAAGGAGTATGGAAAATCTCTGTACCTTCTCCTCAATTTTGCTGTGAACATTAAACTGTTCTAAAAAAGTCTCTGTGGTTGCCAAGGTCTGGGGGAGGGACGGATTGGGAGTTTGGGATTAGCAGATGCAAACTAGTATATAGAGGATGGATAAACAACAAGGTCCTACTGTATAGCACAGGGAACTATATTCAATATCCTTGATAAACCACAATGGAAAAGAATATGAAAAAGAATGTATATATGTATAACTGAGTCACTTTGCTGTACAGCAGAAATTAACACAACACTGTAAATCAACTATACGTCAATAAAATTAATTAAAACAATAAAGTCTTAATAAAAAAAGAAAAAGAAGGAATATTGGCTTCTCTTCCTAGCTCTGCCACTAACTGGCTATGCATGTGTATGTGTGTGTGTGTGTGTGTACAAATATTTAGTGAGAACTTTTTTCTTTTTACTATCCATTCATGTACCATAAATATTATAGGGTATTGTTTTGTGTTCTTATATTTTACATAAGCGTAATTATACAGAATTTTATGCAAGTTTTTTCTCAACAGTATGGTTTTGTTACATTTTGCTCTAGCTCTATATTGCTACATGTAGTTATAACTCATTTCAACTGCTTTATGGAATATCGTCAGATGAATTCACCATACTATAATTTATGTATTCATTCTGTTGACAGTAAAAAATGGAAAACAACCTAAATGACTATCACAAACTAAATCCTTCAGTGGACATCTGTACGTGCATACGTATCCTTATTCACATGTGGGAGAGTTTCTCTTGATTAAAAATCCATGAGTGCTGTACACCTGAAACTAACACGACATTGTAAATCAACTATACTTCAGTCAATCAATCAAGCAAGCAAGCAATAAATAAATAAATAAAATGTACAATTTAAAAAAATCCATGAGTGGAATTACTTGGTCATAGGGTATGCATAAGTTCAGTTTTAGTAGACACTGGCAAATACTTTTCCAAAGTAGTTGTACCAATTTACACTACCACCAATAGTGGAAGAAAGTTCCAACTGACCCACATTTTCATCAGTACGTGGTATTGTAGGTCTTTTTTCATTTTAACCACTCTGATGGATGTGTAGTGGGATCTCATTGTGGTTTAAGTTTAATTCCCATGATGACTAGTGAGATGGAGCACATTTCATAGGTTTATCATCTGATATGCTTTCTTAAAGGAGATATGGACAAGAATGAGAAAGAGGTGAGAGGAAGGACATGGGGGGGAGGTAGTGACTAAGGGATGGGTGTGGGATGATAACACTGTAGAAAGGGGAGCCTAAGGACATTAAATCACACTTTCTAAGCAGACCAGTTTTTCTGAGGGCTAGCCAAGTGTACACAGATTTGGGAGTCTCTTAAATTCAGCAGCTAAAGGTGCTATAAAGGTGCATGTAAAAGTGTATGTTAAACATGTTTGAAGTAAATCATAAAAATCTGGCAGCGACCAAAGGCCAAGTTCTCTTTTCCACAAGAGCAGCAGCTCTGGCTGCTTCCTGGCACCTTTCAAC